AAAAAGAAACGTAAACGTTGTTTTCAAACCAAGTCGCAAAAAATGGATTTATCTGTAACACGATCATCATCAAAACTATCTCCGTCATTAAAACGGTAAGTATCAAGGCAAAAATCGTTGCTTTATCTGCTATTACTTCTCGTTCTTTCTGTTTTTAATCGTTTTATTTCTTTTTACTTTATATTTAGTGCATATGAAGAATCAGTTAGTGCAAGAACATCACAAATTTTCGATATTCAACATTTCCAACAAATTCTTAATAATGCACATGTGTGTTCCGATGGAGGACGTTTAGAGTTTATACCAGATGTGTCACCACCAGTTGGATTATTTCACCAAAACATTTTTCGTTGCACAAAATGTTTGAAAGAAACATCCATAACAAATTTTCCACCAATACATCCAATTGAATCAAAACAACAAGAACCTAACAAACGTTTATGCATCGCTGCCGCTACCACTGGAATTGGTTACGATGCAACAAATGCAATTATGTCATCATTATGTCTATCGATAACAGCAAAAACAGCATTTTTACAACAACTCCATAAACAGTATGACGCATTAAATGATTTTGCACAAAAACATTTTCAAACAATTATTGATGATATAAAATTTAAAAACAACAAACAGGATAAAATAATAGATATCACTGTTTCATTAGATGGTACATGGAAGCGTCGAGGTCATATTTCCAATTATGGAATCGTATTTTTGATTGATGTGCAGTCTGGATATTGCATCGACTATGAAGTAATGTCTTTATATTGTGAAGTATGTCAAATGAAAAAGCCAAAATTACGTAATGAACAATTCGATAAATGGTATAAAAAACATCAAAAATTTTGTTATAAAAATTATGATGGAACATCAAAATCAATGGAAAAAGAAGGTGCAGTTAGATTGTTTCAGCGTTCATTAGGTAATGGTCTTCGATACAAATACATGGTATGTGATGGTGATGCTTCTGCATATAAAGCAATAAAAAACCATTATATTGAGAGACAAAAACAAAAGGATGCACAGGTTGAGGATGAGAGCGAATCAATGGAAGAAGGAACAGATGATGAGGAAGAACAAGAAGAAGAATCAGGTGATGATGATACATCTTCAACAACAAGTAATGACGAATCAGGTGATGATGATACATCAACAACAAGTAATGAAGAATCAGATGATGATGATACATCAACAACAAGTAATGAAGAATCAGGTGATGATGATACATCAACAACAAGTAACGAAGAAAAAAAAGTCGAGGATGATAATCGGACAGATGACAACAACAGTAGCGATAATCAATCAATGAGTGAAGACAACGACGATGAACATGAACATTCTGAATCTGCTCTTGAAAAATTTCAAGATTTATTAGTTATAAAAGAAGATTGCATTAATCATGTTGGTAAACGTGTGATGAAGTATTTATTAAAATTAAAAAAAGAAAAAACTCGTCAAGTTCCAATATCAACATCAACCACAAAAGCTGCATCGTCATCATTATCTAAGAAACAACCAGCAACACAACATCAGTTATTAGATGATAATCAAAAATGGGGTGGTAAAGTCGGTAGAATGACAGATTGTATGATGAAAAAATTATCGAGTGGTTATGGCCTTGCCATAAGACAAGCTAGTACATTGGCTGCTGGTATGAAATACTATTTATATTACTCATACACCATATTTTCATGCTAAAAGTGTATAGCATTTTTTTTTTCTGTCTGTGTATAGGTAAAGAAGTAAAAGAAGCATTGGATGTTATGCAACAATACTGTCGAGCAGCATTTTATCACTATATGAAGACGGATAATCATGATGAAGAAGAGCAACATAAATTCTGTCCAAAAACAAAAATGACATGGTGTACATATCATAATGACAAGTTGTTAACGTCAATCGAGAATGATAATAAAACAAAAAAGAAGAAACGCCAAATATATCTTGATCCAATTTTCCGTCATATTTTACAGCCAATGATTGATACACTTACATCAAGAGAATTGTTACGTCGTTGTTTACGCGCAGTAACACAAAACTCAAATGAATCATTAAACTCCATTGTGTGGTAAACAACTTACTAATTTTCTCTTCTATATGTTAACTATGAAATAGTTTTCTGTACTTATTATTACAGGGCAATTTTGAGCAAATCCAAGCATCATGGTTTCCGTGCTGTACGAGGCAGTGCTGCTCTTGCAGCAATATTCTTTAATCATGGCCGTAGTTCATTGGTTCAGTTTTATAAACAATCCGGAATTGATGTTAATGTGAAATTATTTGAATATCTGTTAGCAAAAGACAATAAACGTATATCGAAATCACAAAAAGTATCTGAACAACGACAGAAACACATACATCGAAAAGCTATGAATAGAAAACGGTCAATGAAAGCACAAATGGATACCCACGATTATGCTTCTGGCGGTTTTAATTTGTAACTTTCGGTTGTTTTTCGTGAAGTTTAAGAGAAATAATATTTTCTCTAAATAAAATTTTTGATTTTCTCAATAGAATTCTATAAACTATTGGCTATTCAATTATACTTCAATGAATTACATCAAGCATGTTTAACGTAGGATAACTAACGAAAATATTAATCGAATACAGAACTTAAGTTTTTTCCTACTTATTTCAAACATTTAGTCTTGGAACAAATACTAAAAAGTTCT